AGATAAAATTACAAAATACAGATTTAATCAAGTTTAAGTCAATAGATTAAGATTAAACCACGTTTAAATAGGAATATTACTATCAAACCAAGTGTAAACCAAAAGATTAAGTTATTTTTAAGTTTAGATTAAAAGATTGAAATTTAACAAAGTTTAAACTTTGTTAAATTTCAATCTCTTTTAACTCAAAAGATTAAAATCAAATTAAGTTTAATTTTAAAGATTAAGATGTATTCAAGGCTAAACCAATAGATTAAGATAAAACCAAGATTAAACTAACTACAATAATTAAACCAATTATGAATTTTGATGAAATTCCAATTTAATTCGAACAATATTCGAAATAAATTCTAACATAAAATTCGAATATTGGTTCGATTATAGAACGATTGTAAACGTTCCAGAAACGTTGAAAGTAGTACATTTGACTGGAGGAAAAATTCTCAAATTAGTCTAGAAACGGGAGACCTAATTATTGCATTCTGTGAAAACGGGTAAGATTGGCTATAATGTAATTATTTTAATTTTCACTTTCGTTATTTTTTGCCCAGCGAAGCCGGTCTTAGCAGCTAGATTCTAGATTACTTAGAAAAACAGTCTTTTATATATATAAAAAACTATATTACATACAAATAAACACCCAGTGAAGGGGGTCCTTGCAGCTAGTAAAAATATAAAAAGCATATGATTTGTATAAAAACAATGGAATTATTGTAATAAGTAAAAGAATTGGACTGTTTCAAAAATAAAACTCTTCAGAAATATTTTTTTTACGTTAAANATCGATATTAACAAAACGAGTTACTTTAATTCACTATAATTCATTCCATCTACGAGAGAAAGCGACATTAAAAATGCTAAAATAGTTTCGTTAGCCCGGAACACGTGATAAAACCATCTCAACGAGAATTTTTACCCTTTCTATTTTTACCTAAAATATCAATTTAAATATCGATAATAAACTAATTTTCTTACGTCATTAAACACAAACATATACGACATACAATTTATTTCAATTACTTGCTTTATGAAGTAACTATTAGAATATCAATGGGCGAAGTTTTTCTATTAAAACACGAATCGTTTAGAGATTTCTTTCGATTTTGATTTCTATTATTTAAGATTACAGTCGGTACGAAGTTTATTACGTGTAACATACGTGTATATTCAGGCTGTTGCAAATAATTTCATTATTCCCAAACCAGATTTTTGTAATCTTCTACCGCAAATGAGTTGTTGTTAAGTGCTATTATCATCTCAACACTGGAAATATGAAAGTGTTCATGCTTGTTTTCACGTTATTTTTTGCACGTCGTTATGAATCAAAAACCTTATTAGATGAATTAAGTTCAGAATTTAGTTAGTCAACACCAGTAATAATTCGAAAAATTTCGATAATTAAGTTATATTTTAAATAGGTTTATTACATTCGTTTCTTCACCAAAGTGATGTTACCTTTTTTCACATTACAATTAACAAAATTGTTCAATTCACGTTTACCTTTACTCAATTTTAAAATTTGTTCGGTAGTTAACTAAAATATGCATTTTTTTTTTAAATTAGATCGTTTATTCATTTTGTTTCTAATGTATAATCAGTTTCAGTAAAAACTAATTAAATTGAGTCAACAAGGAGCTAAGGGCATCATGTACTTCTTGATTTGCAAAATTCCAGAATTCCATCTAAGCTCGTCCTGACAATTCTGACGTGTATCGAAGTTATGGACAATGGGCCCTGTAAAATCTTAGTTACGTGCTTTCGGGAATTATCGTGTTCGCAATTGCTACAATTAAATATTCTATTATATAATTGATTTTATAAACAGAAAATATATTTGAAATTATTAGAAAATCTTATATATGTTTGCAGAAATATGTAAAATTCGATTTTATTATCATAAATCGCGGAAAAGAGATTCCTTGTGAAATAGGAATGTGTTTCATTCACACGACGTTATTTCATGTACGAATGTAATGACTCCAATTCAAATTATGTTATTTGTAATTCGAATTATGTTATTTGTAATTCGTTTCGAATTTTTAAATTATCGTTTGAGAATATTCAGACTTGGAAAATTGTTAAATATTCATTAAAGACTAAACTAATCATTTCATTTATATTTTCTGTTAATGATAAGGGAACACTTAAATTTTATATTACTTTTTGCAATTTCAATCATAAATAAAGAAACTACATTTTATCTCTATCTTATAATAGTCAAAATATATATGTTAATATGTTCGTTTTAATGTTACGTAAATGGTTCTGTCACCAGCAGGAAATTTAGCATAAATAATCTTTTACATCTTAATCTTTAACCTTTTGTAATGTTTATTGTTTAGTTTTTCTTCTTTTTTACACATTATGTTCTTGCAACTTTTTGTGCTTTTTAGTCTCATTATTGTAACTACTTATAGCATTTTGTTGATTTACTTTGTATGTTGTAAATATTATTTACAACACACGCGACAAAATTATATTCGTTCTATTTTCGACAGAATTATTTCTATATTTTTTTGAAACATTTCGAATCTTTATTACATTTGAAATCATAACGGTAATATTATATAAACCTTATTCAATCTTTTGTTATAATAACTAATATTACAAAGAGGACATTCCTTATTGTTATATTCAATAAACTAATCGATGGCGAAACAAATAACACACACACACATATATATAGAAAGAAAGGGAGAGAGAGAGATAGTTGCACAAGAAATATACGCAAAATTAGGATGTAACTATTTTTCAAATTTTTATAAATGAACATGTATTATAATTCAGTTGAACTTAGTCGCTATCCATTCACACAACGCATAACTTTTTAATGGGCATCGAGAAAGCACAAAGCAAATAACACGCGTGGTTACAGAAAAGGAAAAGGTATCCAGCTAAAAACAGGTCTTAAACTTAATATTAACGAATAAGCATAAACATATCTACATGTAATTTGACACGCTGAATCGACTGGTATACAAAAAATTATTTCGATCAACCGTTTTAAAGTTACGAACGATTTTTTATTTTCGCCTGTTTGCTTCGTTTAAGAACAACTTTATTAAGAAATACGCAAGCACTCATCGATATTAACAAAACGAGTTACTTTAATTCACTATAATTCATTCCATCTACGAGAGAAAGCGACATTAAAAATGCTAAAATAGTTTCGTTAGCCCGGAACACGCGTACACACGACAAGGGTTTTGGAACAACTGACCCAGGGAAATTTTCCCTAAACGGTGGGGAACTGTCGAGCGTGATATCACTTCCACAATTTTCTACACACACGTGAGCGGTAACAGAAATAGTTGACACGATAATATAATTATTATATTAATTATAAAATTTACATACAAAAATATAAGGGGTACCTGAGAAACAACTAATGGGCAATGGGGTACATCAACAAAAAAGGTTGAGAACCACTGTCTTAAAGAATATATCCTATTTACATACCATGATAATCCACTAGCTGGACATCTGAGAAAATTAAAAATGCGAACTAAGATCGAAAAATCATTTTATTGGCCCGAAATGGTGAAGGAAATTCACAATTATTGTAAAAGTTGCCAAACATGTGCTAAACACCGACGGCAGGGTAAACGAACCCAAGCCAAATTACAATTATTCTCTCCCCTATCTCACGTGTTTGAAAGAACTGCGATGGATATAGTAGGACCACTTCCTAGTACTACTAATAGAAATAAATATATCCTAGTCTTCGTTGATCACTTTAGTCGGTATGCGGAAGCTATCCCAATACCTGACGTCACCAGCAAAACTATAGCCAAAGCATTCGTCACTCCACATTGTACTACGTCATTCAACACCCACTCAATTATTAACGGATAGAGCACCTAACCTATCTCAAAAATGTTTACGGAAGTGTGTAAGCCGTTACAAATAAAAAGACTCCTCACAACTGCCAATCATCCCTCCTGTAATGGTGTCGTTGAACAATTTAACAAAACTTTAATTGATATCCTATCTCACTATGTGGCCAAGGACCAGAGAGATTGGGACGAATAGATCCCTTACGCTTTACTTGCCTATAATACGTCTACCCATGCATCCACAAATGAAAGTCCCTTTTTCCTTTTATATGGGATAGACCCAACTTATCCATTTAACCTAGTTACAAGCCCTGCTATCATATCCTATGATGTGGAAACCAATTTCGCCTCTGAATTACAATTACAAATGCAAAGCGCCCATCAAACAGTTCAAAAATTTTCCGAACAAGCGGCAGAGGCGAGGCAAATTAGACACCACCAACAAAATAAACCGCCATGCTATCAGCTGGGAGATCGAGTGTTATTAAAGGAAGTTGTTGTACCCAAAGGCCAAAAACAGAAATTAGCTCCTGGATGGTCGGGACCTTATCGAATTATTGAAATCCTCGGTCCCGTTAATTTTAAGATTAAAAATATTAACACTAAACGAACTCTACATGTACACGCCGACCGAATTAAACCAACTAGCGCTAGACAGGAATTCAACCTTGACCCAGAAACACCAACCAAATCACTCATCTCCACACCGGAAGAAGATACAACGGAGCAGCAACAACATCTCATATCCGACCCCTGGGATGAATTTATTTTGTCTTCTATCCCTACCACTCCTCCAGAAGGATCTCCGGAATCAGAGGATGAAGGATCGAGCGATGAATCTACAGATCAGGAGGAAAGGGCAAGCTCTGAACCAGAAATAGAAGAAGAAATGGGGTCAACGCCTCCTTATGCTCTTAGAAGCCAAGGTCTGGTTGCAGATCAACCCTGGGTTATGCCTCGCCCCACCCGAAGCCGCATACCCCGATTTATTTCTCCTACCACTAGCTGATCATCATCTCCTTAATTACAATTAATTCGGTTGTGTAAACTTAATGGGAGAGATGGCCTCACAAGAGAGAAAAATGGCCTTTCGAAAAAAAGAACTTAAATGATACACCTTGTCCTTCGGTACCTCACCTATACTTTTCTCCCTTTCAGAGAATAATGGCCTCCTCTGATCAAAATGCAGCATTGACGGTCTTAGTGAGCTGCCCAGTTTGCTTTACAGTAGCAAAACCACCTGTGTCACAATGTACCAATGGGCACATAGTCTGTTTGCAATGTCGCCCGAGAGTCTCCAACTGCCCTACCTGCCAAAAGACTCTGGGACATATTCGCAGTCTGATAACTGAACAGCTTTCTTCCTCGTTACGACTGCCCTGCCGTAACGAAGCTTTCAAATGCACCGAAATGTTATACGAAGTAGATCGAGAGGATCATGAAACCATCTGCTTCTTCAACCCATTAACTTGTCCTTTTTCATATCTCGATTGCAGATGGGAGGGAGCTCGGCCTAATTTGCTGTCGCATATCCGCCAAACTCACCCTCAAGTGCCCCATCTTGATCAAAATGCAGTAAACTTTTTTGGAATTCATGCTGAGAATGACTTTCCCAAAAGCTGGGCAGTCATTCTAAAATGTTACTCTCAGTATTTCTTGATAATGGTAACCAACATGGCGGAATCTCCCACGTTTCTTACTAATGTCTACCTTTTATCTGATGAACCTCCCCGTCCATCTTCTCTCTCTTATTTCGTTGCATTCAAAAGAGGCTCCAACATGTTACATTGGAAATCATCCCAAATCCCCTTATGGGGATCGACCGATCCTCACAGCTCTAGCATTCCTTTAGGTTTATCAACTGAATTTATTTACTCCTTTTGCGCCCATAATAATTTTAAATTTTTCGTCAAAATAATGAACTGTTGAACAAGAAAAACAAGAAAATTTTCCTTTCTCTGCTCATTGCAGAATGGCGGACCTTGATGAATGGTGGGACACCGATTCTCCTATTACATCTCCTGTTCCACCGCCTAATCCCGTTGTGAATGCCGAATCCCTCCGGGCCGCCTTACAGTTCGCCCGAATACAACGCCAAAGGGAAAACACCCCTTTCACTATCATCCTTCCCATCAACCATGACTGTCCTCCGGAATTAATCAACAACCTTCAAGAGGAAACCCAATCAAGTGACAGATATGTTCCAACTCAAAATATATCTACCACTCCTCTACAAGATCCTCTACCTCATGCCTCTCAAATACCAGTTCTGGGACCACCGACTCCTCAAGAAACCTCCCAATCACAACCATCACGGTCATCTCGAGGTCGCCATCGTCGACCTCCTCATCAATCATGAATATTTATGATCTGTCTTTTTTCTCCTATATATATCCAGATATATTATACACACATTTATATCCTGAATATCGCTTAATACCTAGAGTATTGTCTATTTTTTTTTTCCAATAAATATCCATTTTAATAGAAATTATCTTACTATTTACTTTCCTACACCCACACCGAGATTGGATATCGAGATTGGGACAAATGAATGTATTGTATGCAAACAAAGCATAGGGGATTCCCCTATGCTTTGTTTGCATACAATACGTCAGTGCATGCATCTACCAATGAAAGCCCTTTTTATCTTCTATATGGAAGACACCCAGCTTATCCCTTTGACCTAGTCATGAGCCCTGCTGCCATATCTTATGACATTGAAGACAACTTTGCATCAGAATTACGTCAAAGAATGCAGCACGCCCATCGAATGGCTCAACAATGCTCTGAACATGCTGCAGAAACGAGGCAAGAACGTCATCGTAAACAAAATAAGCCTCCACATTATCAAATGGGAGATAGAGTATTATTTAAAAAAGTTGTTACGCCTAAAGGATTAAAGCAAAAGTTGGCTCTGCGATGGTCTGGACCTTATAGAATTGTTGAAATCCTAGGACCAGTTAACTTTAAAATTGAAGACCCACAAAATAAGAGGCAACTACACGTACATGCGGATCGAATTAAACCAAGCAGCGCTCGAAAGGAATTTGACATAAAGTCTGACCTAACCATCAGGCCAGATACTGCATCACCGGAAGCAGAGCCTCAACCAGATATCTCTATCGACCCTTGGGACGATTTTAAATTATCCTCTATACCCTCTCCACAACCGGAAGAAACAACAGAACAGGAAAAGGAAGACGATATTGAAAAAGCTGAGTCGGAAAACGACTCAGAACCGGAAGGAGGGCCAGAAGTTACTCCTCCCTATGCCCTTCGCAGTCGGAGCCCAGTTGAAGATGAACCTTGGGTTATGCCTCGACCCACGCATAGCCGTATACCACGGTTTGTTTCTCCTGCTGATAGTCGGTCATCGTCCCCTTAATCCTTTAGGATAACTAAAGGAAAACCAAGACACCTATCGTATTCTGAGATAAGCAATATACCATGTACGGGATTCATGTATTAAAACTAATCAATATTCTCATGCCCTTTCTCTCCTTATTAGTCCTTTTATCCCTTTCAGAAAATCATGGCTACCCCTGAACAAGATAGTTCAGTGCCAGCAGTACTCAACTGCCCTATATGTTTTGACCTGATACAACCGCCGGCTTTCCAGTGCACCAATGGGCACCTGGTGTGTTTGCAATGCAGACCCCGTATAACCACCTGTCACACATGCCGAGAAACCCTAAGATACATCCGCAATCTAGTGATGGAACAAATAATAGCCTCACTACAACGGCCGTGTACTAATAAAACCTTTGGATGCCCAGTCTTGCTGAAGGAGGCCGACCGGAAGGCCCACAAAAACACCTGTTCGTACTGGCCGGTCGTTTGCCCCTTCTCCAACAATGATTATAGTTGGAGAGGAGCATTAACCAATTTAATAACGCACATTCAAACCAATCATCCTCAAGTACCAATTTTACAACAGACACAATTAATCTTCCTAGGGGTCCCGGCAACCGAACACGACTCTAATAATTGGGCTACGATATTAACTTGGTATAGCCAGTATCTCCTGCCGATGCTCCTTCTTTCATTATCAAAGTTTTCTTGCTTACCGAACAACAAAGATCTTCTAATCTCAGTTATTCTATAATATTTAATAGGGGTGGCAATACTCTCTTCTGGAGGTCTTCCCACATTCCCATCTGGGGAGCCACCACCATCTCCACCAATCCGCCCTCTCCTCCTCGAGGTATCCGCAAACCCTGATATACGCATTTTGCGGGCACAGTAATTTTAAGTTTTTCTTTGAAATTCTGTCGGAGTAAAATATCCTTCCCTGCGAATTACAGAGAGATGACGGAATTAGAAGAATGGTGGAATCCTGACATTACAACACCAAACAGAAAAATAGTCAATGCTGCCTCGGTACGGGCCGCACTGAATTTTGCACGGACACAAAGGCAAACAGGGGTCACGGCTGTTACCATCATTCTACCGATTGGATATATGTGTCCCCCTGAGCTCGATGAGGCGGTAAGGAAAAAAAAAAACATTATGAAAGGCAAGCCGCCATATCGCCGCATGCGTCCAGAGTCCCTATTTTCCAATCCGTGCCTAGAGGGACGAGCTCCGGCAGATGAACGCAATCAACGCTCCCCGTATTAATAATAAAAGATACTTAATAATAAAGAAAAGTTAGCCCTATATCACTGTGTGCATGGAAAATATGTATCCCTGATGTCTAAGTAATCAAACAATACAGATACAGATACAGATATTTATTGATCAATATGCCATATGGCATATCCCGATGCCACTAAGTATTACCGGGTATATACAGGAAATTACATAGTTTACACTGAAGATTTCGATAACTAATTATTAACGTAAATAAAATTAATTAACGCGTGTACAATTATATATATGAGGTTATACACGCGTGCAAAACATTAATAAGTATTAATAGATAAAAATAAATTTAAAACATAAAAGTTGCTGGAAATGTGACAGAGTCATAACATTATATAGTTACACGAGGAACATATGTTTTGTTATCTTACGCGGCAATTCTGTTTCAGCAGAGGTTTTCGAATCAGACTAGATAAAAGTTTTTTTTTTTTTCTGCTGAAGTGAAACTCCTGCACAATCCAGACCAGGAGACTTATACAGATCTTATTAGAATATAGTCCTCTGTCAACGATTTTCCAGAATTAGTTGTCCAACGCCTTTGCTCTTCCTTATAAATCTTGCTGCTAGCATAGCTCCAGGTATATCTTGTGTGATTCTTATTGCCATGGTACAGCTCCAGGCACACCACTGTTATCCACAAAATTTGCCTCTTATGTATGCATGAGAAGCAAACGCCGATACAGAATCACAATGCCAGTAGATGCACTTAATTCACATATGTAGCAGACAAATTCTTCTCGAATATCACTGTTGCACAACGTTTGTGGAATTATACCAGAGTAGTAGTCCAGCCAGAACAGTAGACCAGCCGAAGGAAGACGCTAAATAAGGTTTCAACACAGTTGTACATCATCTATGACGTTCAATGTATGGATACTTTGATTATTTATTGAAGTCTCTTATCATTGATGAGACACATTTCTGAGCACAAATACATAACATCATATATTATTTAGGGAAGAACCAGTGCATTAGACCTATCGATGAAGGACACTGTATAGAGTTTCAACACAGTTGTACAGCATCTATGATGTCCTATGATCACATACGTTGGTTGTTTATTGAAGTCTTTCGTCAATGATGTGACATATTTTTGGGCATAGTAATACAAAGTCAAAACCAGATTCCTTAAGCAAATATTTCACAAGTACGGCCAATCAAGTATTATAAAAAGAGTAGGGCACATAAGTATAACGAGGGTAAGTGTGTTAACGAGAATACAACAAAACATGTAAAATATATAATAATAAAAGAAATAAAATAGACAAAACGCCGATAGAGAACCCATGGTATCAATGCTAAACCTTCCAAAAGAAAATGCAGACTACAAGTACAATCACGAAATAATTATATTAGGGTAATTTATATTTTCACTAACCAACAGTTGGCCATTAATGGCCAGAATAAGCTGGTACACTGGTCCTTACAAAATACATGTTAACGAGTTGTACAAAGGCATCGAAGGTATCTTTGTGATCAAAGAGACGTTCTAAGGTGGGAGGTGGCCAATGGAGATCATGAGACTCAAGTAACAGTTTTAAAATCAATCTTTCATTTTCTAGCATAGGGCATGTATAAATATAATGATCGCTGCTGTCGTTGCAATCACATATAAGACATCTTGAGTTTGATGTGCCCTTGAATCTTGAAAGGTATGAATAAAATCTCCCATGATTTGTTAATATTTGTGTGAGTTGGTGGGTAGGCTTGTACCATTTATTACTAAGGAAATTTGTAATATCTGTAATATATTCATGTGTTTTATTATTAATATTATTCCATTGAAGCTGCCATGCATGAATTACTTCTTTCCACAGGATAGTTTTAATTGTTTGTATACTAATTCTTTTGTAAGATACAGGTAAGTCCTCCTTATAAGAAGCCTCTTTTGCAAGTTCGTCTGCCAGTTCATTTCCATAGTGCCCTTGATGTCCTCGAATCCAGTTTATAGCGAAATGACAAGTGGATGTATTTATGATATCTTGTATACGATTTGCAATCGGATGATAGTTTCTGGTTTTTAGCAGAGCTATGGCAGAAGAACAATCAGTATTAACAGAAATCCTTTTGTTTGTATAATTATGCTTACACCAAGCAACAGCCATTTGAATGGCGAACAATTCGGCTTGGAAATTTGAGCAATTTTCACCAAGTCGATATTGTTCCATAGTCAATATCTCTTCACGGCAGTATGCAATAAAACTGCAGCCTACTCGGTTACCCGTTTTAGAGCCATCTGTAAAAAGATGAAAGTCTGCATTATCATAGGTGTTAATAGCAAA